CAGGTTTGGGAAAAAAAAAAAACAAACTGTTAATAACTATACAAAGATCTCTTTCAAATGGAGAACTACCACCTCCTTCCTAGGCAAAGGATGTAACAGCCAATTTAGAGAGCAACCAGTTCAAATACTACCCCTTCCCTCAACCAGCCCCCACCCCCACAAACACAAAACATAAAAAGATGTACAAATTTACTAGTCATGAAAATGTAAAATCAGGTAATAGATATTACTTTATATAAAAAATAGCCTTGTGGGGGCTGGCCTGGAGCGCTGGCATCCCATATGGGTGCCGCTTGGAGACCTGGCTGCTCCGCTTCTGATCCAGCTCTCTGCTATGGCCTGGGAAAGCAGTGGAAGATGGCCCAAGCCTTGGGCCCCTGCTCCCGCGTGGGAGTCCCAGAGGAAGCTCCTGGCTCCTGGCTTCAGATCGGCGCAGCTCCAGCCATTGCGGCCAATTGGCGAGTGAACCAGTGAATGGAAGACCTCTCTCTCTGCCTCTCTGTGTAACTCTTTCAAATAAATAAATCAATCTTTAAAAAAATAGCCTTGTGAACATTATAAATCTCTAATACCCACTGGAGGAATTCAGGGACAGGCAGGCTCATGCACCTTTTGCAGACTGTAACCTGTGATGGCCTTTTCTTGCAATCTGGCTACAATTATTAAATGTTCACCCAGCTATTTGATTTCCATGATTTATCTCCTATAATGAAAAATATCCATAAAGTAAGGACTTAGGTATAAGGATGTTTCTGCGGTATTTTGTAGGGAGGAACAAACAAAAAGCAGAAAGTGAATGCTCGTCAATTTGAGAATGTTTCAGTAATATAACCTATCTATACCACAGATAATGCTGCTATTTAAAATAACTAGAGCTACAGCTGACTTTAACATATTTCCTTAAGATACTGAGAAAAAATCAAGAAAATGCAATCAAGAAAATAAATAATATATATATGCACAGTGACTATATGAACAAGGAGAAAACTCATACACTTGGTTGTTTGCATTTGTTATGGGAGAAGGTAATGTGCTAAGGGGCACAGAAAGAGGGAAACAAAGCAAAAGTGAAAGCAAAGGCGGGGCAGGGTGAATGGGAAAATAAATTATTTTGTGTACATGACTTTCAACAGTAACTACATTTACAATATTGGTTCACTTGTTCCCTCTGAAGCAACCATTTCGTTTTGTATCTGAAAATATCACATTTTCTTTAAACAACAGAAAGCCCACAAAAGCACAGCTGAAGTGCTTTGGTTACATTAACACTGAAAAATTATGTTCCAGTGGTTGTCATATCTTCTAGGATTTTTAAGACAATGTCTTGATGCCAAGAGCCCAGGTTTTTTTTTTTTTTTAAGCTTTCTGTCTCCCTAATCGCATTAGTTCGGAGGTAAAGATTTGGAGGTAACCTGGTAGACATGGTGTGGTGTAATATCTAAGTTTTAACTGCTTCATGCAAAACAAAAAGTAGAAACAGATGCTTCAATGGTATGTAGGCAAAAGGCTGGAAAAAAAACAAAGAAAAAAAGTAAAAGCAGGACTATATTGTTAACAGCCAGCCCAAACATTCTAGAATCAGTAAACTCTTACAGATGAAAGGGCTTGCCTAATTACTTACTGCTCAAATTATAGACTCAAATGGGCTGTTTACTAACCCTGATAAACCTGGCTGTCATTCAAGCCCAGGGAGACAGCAATTTCTACCAAGCATTCAAGGAAGACATAATTCCAGTTTTACATACCCTGATAATCAAGTTTATCCCACATTAACACTTGGAAACTACAATTCACCAGATTAAAGCATAAATCACAATTATATGACAGATGCTCACTGCCCTCCAAATTAAGAGTAGCCAACAAAATGCAACATATTTTCCAAGGGAAGAGCTCTTGGGCAAATTAAGAATTAGGGGAATTTACTTCATTTGGTAAAAAGTATTTACATACACAATGATATTCCAAAAAGCTAATGGAAACAGAAGTTTATTTTTGTGTAAAACATTTTGAAATCCATGCATTTTTTCCATAGTATGCATTTTCCATGAACTTGTGGAAGGCTCCTCGTATATATGCAGCAAATATTATAATGGTTGACACACTAAAATGTTTCCCTTGGCGATTAACTAATCAACAATGCTCCCTTTAGTCACTGCTATTCAGCACCTTACACTAGAAGACCTAGCCAGCGCTGATGGCCCAGAATAAGAAATCATTTCACAACGTGAATCCTAGCTCCGCCACTTACGAGCTATGCAACTCTAGGCCAAGTACTTACCATTTCTGTGCCTCAGTAACCTCATCTTGAAAATGTGGATCATGAGCGCACCCCCTCCACAGGTTGTTCTGAAGAGTAAAGTTACTATTTTGAAACAGAGATTAGAACGTGACATTTCAAAGCACTGGTTGTTAAATAAAAATATTCATAAACGATGACTGAGTACAGCTATCCTTTTCAATCTAGAGATATGCTATTAGAAGTAAGATTCCACAGACAGGAAGTTGTTTTTTAGATATATCACTTTAAAATGTCTATTTTGTTCTATCTACCAAAGGCAGAGAGAGAGAGAGAAACAGGTATCTTCCATCCACTGGCTTACTCCCCAAATGTTTGTAACCGCCAAGACTGGACCAGGCTGAAGCCAGGAGCCTGAAACTCCCAAGTCTCCCATGTGTGTGGCAAATTCTGTCAGGGGCTCCCATGTGAGCGGCAGGGGTCCAAGCAGTTGAGCCATCATTTGCTACCTCCCAGAATGCATCAGCAGGAAGATGGGTCAGAAACAGAGATGCCAGGACTCAAAATGGCACTTTGATATGGGCTGTGGGTAACCAACTGCACCACAATGCTGGCCCCAGATATAAATTATTAATACCAAAATCAATAGTATTTTCATACATTAGTACCAAGCAGAGACATTTTAATGACATTTTAAAAAGACACCATCCCAACAGCATAAAAAATAATCAAGTATCGAGATGTGAAAGACCTCAATAGCACTAATTATAGATATAATGTAATCTCAATCAGAATTGGTGGAACAACAAGATGGCTCTGTTCATGGAGATGTGAAGTGCCAAGAACTATCAAGACGTTCTCTAAGTGGCAGACGTGACCTACTAGAGAGCAAACTCAAATTCCAAGGGTGTGGTCTAGACTGTCCACTAAGCCATACAGGAGGTCGGTTTCTGAAATGCACACCGACCAGGCACGTCTGTGTGGTTCCTCCCTCATTTCCTTTGCACCTTTGCTCAGAGGACCCCTAAGCAGACCTTGTCTGTCTGTCCTGCATAAAAGAGTTCTTCCCACTACTCCAGCCACTCTGTTGCCACCGACCATTCATTTTTCATAGCAACCACCATATTATTTTAACCTAGCTGTAGGTTTACTATTTGTGTCTTTCTCCCTACAATGACAAAAGACTTTTGAAACCAGAATGTTTATTTGTTTGGTACTAAACAGTATCTTCAGCATCTATTTTGTAACTCTGCTGAATGAACAAGCTGGTAAAAGTCACGAAGACCGATTAACACACGAGGCATGGTGATTCAGTCTCAACTAAAACTGCAAACTTCCTTTTGCTCTTCACCTATTAAATGATAGTTACATAGAAGATTAACTCTCCTTGAGCACAGAACAGCATTTTGGATATTCAAAATCACCCAATACATAGATTCACTGGCTTTAGCAATGATATCTCACACTTTAATGAAGGAAGGAAGTGAAACAACAAATCCATTAAGAGGAACCATATGAAATACAGCTTTGAGAGTCTTAACGTCTCTCACTGGAAAGGCAAAATGATCTATGGATCAGGAGTTATTTGCTCATGTCATGCAGGAATTAATAGCTCTTAGGGTTTTCAATATACTCTTATCTTTTTGGTGATCTAAGTCTATATTCAACTAAAAGGTTTTACAGTCTAACTCAATTTCCAACAAAAAAAAGAGTGATGGATTCTGTGAATTTAAATCTATCAAAAAGTTAACCAAAATTCGATGTTCTCAGGCTGGGAAGTTGCAAATGTCAGAGAAGCCAGTTAAGCTAGTGGTGTGCATAAATAGCACTAGGATGTACTGTTGTAGTTGTATTATTTTCTCTAACTACCATATGATTTTTTCTGAATACAAAGGGTTTGAAAAAGATTTCAGTGAGTTTAGGTTGGTTTTGAACACCTGGGGTATTTCTTACTCTAGTCTAGCCCAGAACTGAGTTCTGGGGAATTTGGGTTGGTTGTGTATTAAGTCAAGGTTAACAGATCCGGGGTGACAAGCAACTTTTGGAACCAACTGTAAGGTACAACATTTTTTAAGGTGAGACCGAGGACACACTGTTGGGGGAACAATAGGAAGAGGGAGGGGGTGGACCAAAGGCACTGGCCACCCACGTGGCACCACTTCCACTGTATTCCTATCACTTACTTTCCATCTCATCTTTAGCCTTTCACAGAAATGTCAGGGCAGTCAACATTATTTTCATGAGATACAACAGATTTTCAAAAGTTCATGAAAAAATTTTGCACCAAAATAAATGTATCTTTTAATTTTCCCACATACTTTTTGAAGTACCCTTCTTTTAACAATGTTCCAGGAAAACAGAAAAAAAATCTGCTATGCATTTTATAGAGCTACAATAGAAAGCATTTGATTATTTCTAACTTGAACTTACATGGCTTCCATTTTCCTCATCAAATGTTGTCAGGGCAGAATCTCTTAAAAATAGTCTTTCTGATCTTTTTCTAAGATGAGAATTTATAATATGGATCCATTTCACAACGTAATGATTTACTTACTGAAGATAAATTCCATCAATTTACTTTAAAAATGAATTTTTTTTAATGAATACAGCGTCTTGCAAGGCAAACGGTATGAATTACAAGACATGATAGTTTCGTTCGGCAAATGCATCCCTTTGAGCCGAGACCAGAAGGTAAAATCATTTCAATGTCTTGTTATATTTGAGTAATACCATTAAACAAATGAACACACACGTGCACACAATAAACAGCAGCAGTACATTAGTATTTACATTTATTTCTCAGAAGCATTTTACACACTCATTATTGAACAAAATTGGAATGCAAACAAATATACAAATACCATAATAAACTTTATCAAATAAAATAACTGGCACTAGTGTTATAAGCATATTATTGGACCTGGTGAGGAGAAGTGATGAAAGCCTGCAGCCCATGACATTTTTCTTTTTATCAAAAGAAAATGCTCCATAGCACCATAATGGTAATACTTAAGAGAAACAAGTAAGATGGAACATTTTAAACTGCTATAATTGAGGTTAACCTGCTTTATTTAAGAGAATTATACCAGGTAACAGTACAGACAGTATTTTGGCCAACTTCTGCTTATGTCAATTGAACATCTTCCATCAACAGAAGCAAAAGAAAATAAAGCCAACCATATGGACCTTTTGTCCTCGGTACAAGCTCTGCACCATGCTTTGCTTTCATGGCTGGAGAACATATGCATGTATTCAAAACTGAGGTTATGTGGCATTATTCACTAAAGCCTGAGCGTGTCTTTGGTAGGCTAATACTTCTTCATTTTTATTAATCACATTTGTGTTCATCTATTTCCTGTGTTTTTCTATATAATCCAAGTGATAGGACATTATGGAAAACAATACGGCAAAATCCTCAAACAACTAGGTTCTTAAAACCCAGTGTATATCCCAAAGACATCAAGAATTGATAACAAGTGACTTCTCTGTAATACTTATATAGTCTATGGGATTTTATTTTGCAGTTTTATATATCTTATTTGTTGCTGTCAGTATACTTAATTACCTACCTTTACATTTTTCTTCTAAGATGGCATCAACAAGATACAAGATATATAGAGTACCAGCTATTTCTATTTTGAAGTTGTGCAAAGACTGCCACAATCTTGCTCAAAGTATCTAAGTATCCAAATGGTAGCCAATGGGCTGCATTAAGCTTTATATATCCACATAGCATATGAAGGGAAAAAACAAAGTTTATGCCCAGTTAGGAACAGGAATATTACAAAGAGTATCATACATGAGAAGAACCTGCCAAGTTCTTTCACACAGTATCCTTTAGTGGTTTCAATAGAATATCACTAACCACTTACCCCAATCCTCAACTTTTCTTCATAAGAATGCTGTAGAACTCCATTAGTATTTTATATTGATTATAAATAAAGCCAAACTTCTTCTATCTAAAGACACAAAAATGTGTTTTAAGCAATGTTTTGTGTTATACACACAGAACATGCTTTGCTCTTACAGATTTATTATCTTTACAATAATGCACTTTTAAAGCCTTCATTTCATTGTTTGGTAATTATGATCCACACGAAACACAATACTTATTGAACACAGAAAATATATCTGCATTAGGATTGTGAAACCTGACTTCTGTAGTCATGTGTAGTTCAACCAGCTCCAAACAAGGTTGTTCAGTGGTAATTATTTTGCAGCATTTATGGGCCTAAATTTCAGTCTGAATTGCAACTTTTAATTCCATTGTCGGAAGTGAGTGGTTGTTGTTTGTCTCTTTTAGTGCATCGCCAAAATATAAATCAACATTGGGTCTTATTGCACTGTTACCATGTTCTTCAGCAATATGATTCAACGGTGGAACTTCTGAACATGAAGCAGTGTTGGTAAGCACAGAAATGCTACACTGATGCGGGCAATTCTCCAGACGGTCATTTTCCACCTCAGGAAGAATGTTAACAGTAGCAAAGCGGGCATGGTAATCACTGGAACCATGACTACATGAAGTTTTCATGCTTTCAAGGTCAGAACAACTAAATTCAGAAAAGTGACTAGAGTGGGAATCGGCTACAGATGGCATACTGTCACTGAGGGACGGAGCCTCAAATTCGCTGGAGTTCGTGCTTTGTTGTTCTAACAACTGCGCATCCATGTCCTCTCGGGTTTCATTTATCTTCATGTTACCCTTTTTCCTCGCTTTACCACTTTTTGATTTTTTTCCTGCTGTCGCTTCTTTGGGCCACTTGGTGGCACTGGATCTACCTTCAGGCAAGCCACCAGCTGAGCCAGCAGCATGACTCCGGGCGGCACTGCCATCATCCACACTGCTGCTTCCGCTGTTGTGCCTGAATTTAGACGGCTTTGATTCAATATCCACTTGCACTTCCACACTGTTGCCTTCTCTGCAACATAAGAGCAACAAAGATAAGCCTCACTTCTGACTTCCTTTTCATTTTTATTCAGATGACAGAAAAGGAGGAGGGGTTTCTGTGTGAAAAATGTTAAGCTCATATAAAATCAGTCAGAACATATAATGAAGGACATGTTCTAGTAAAAAAACAACTTACGACTGTTTTCATAATGCTTCAGAGTTCTTTGGTAACATGCATTTACTGCTTATGCTATTCTTGGAACTATGTGCTTTTCTTCCCCTAAGAACAGCTTTATTGTGATATAATTTATATACCATGAAATCATCCTGTTTAAAGTGTATAACTCTGGTTTTTAGTATATTCAGTTTATGTAACCATCACCACTACCTAACTTCAGAACATTTTCATCAATCCAAAAGAGAAACCCTGTACCCATTAGCAGTCAGTTCCCATTCTTCCCTCCCTTCAGCTCCTGGCAACCATGAATCTACTTTCTGTTTGCTTATTTTAGATATCACCATTTTCTTTTCCCAGGGAACTTAATAATTGGTAACCATTATTCACTGATTAATTTAGTTGAATAATAGGAATAATTCCTTTAAAATTAATTTTAAAATATTTCTGATTTTATAACATTTTTTTCCTTACTTGTCCAATGGGATGTAGGAATTCAGAATGGATCCTGCCATTGCTTTGGTACTGGCATTATCACTGACTGTTCCCAAGCTGACTGTGCCAGATTCTCCACTTAGACTGTATCGTTCTTTCTGTACATCCGCTTGTACTTCCAACCTTCAAGAGGGGGATAGCAGATAAAAACCAAAGTTTATATAACACCAGCACTGCTGTAACAGTTACCTTTAAGTAATTCAGCTAAGAAACCCAGTAATGAGAAGTTATATTTAATACAACTTTTTTTTAATTGCAGCACACTAAACAGTGCCAATCATCCAAACAGAATGGGAAAAATTACCTGTCTGCCAAGTAAGGTACGAAGGGAATAACAAAAAAGACACAAGATTTCAAGTTAAATACTCTGTATTATTCTCATTCAGGACGTGGCAACTTTGTCATGTTTCAGGAAAAAGCATGAAAGTCAGAATATGTCATCAATCATTAAGCATGACAAATCAGTGAGTAAAAAAAAAAATCCTGGACATTTATATTAAAAATGATTCGATAAATAAAATGACTTTTAAAGTAAGAGATAACATGCATCACTGTAACTTAAAGAGTTTCAGTTTCAGTGCAGACTACTCAAAAATAAGATAAACATGATGAATTTTCTTTTAATTCATCATTCTCCCTTTTTTAAAAAAATAATTAAGGCTAATAAATAAAACAGCTGAGTCAAAGGAGAAATAAGAAAAGATGAAAAAAAAAAACACATTAATTTCTCCTGCTTATCCATGTGGCTGCTGGTAAAGACTTGATGAGAATGAAGCGCTTGTTAACACATAAAAGGATGCAGGCAGAGCACCCTGGTCTTGGTTCAGGTATTCCTGGATGTCCTAACTCTGTGTTCCCCAGGCCATGGCCAAAGTCTCATCTAACATCCAACTGTTGTTATCCCATAGGTAAGGGCTAGGCTGAAGCACTGCCTTTACTTCAGGGTCCCCTGAAGCGGCTCCAGCATTGTTTAGAATATAAAATCTGACAAGTGCACTGAAAATATTGCTAGAATGTTAATTCCTTAGAATTAGTCTTTACACAGTAAACTTCTCACTGTATACCACTAATGTTCGGTTTTTAAACATTATTTTCGGGGCCGGTGCTATGGCTGAGCAGGTAGAGCCATCACCTGCAGTGCTGGCATCCCATATGGGTGCCAGTTCAAGTCCTGGCTGCTCCTCTTCCAATCCAGCTCTCTGCTATGGCCTGGGAAATCAGTGAACGATGGTGCAAATGCTTGGGCCTCTGTGCCCACGTGGGAGACTCAGAAGAAGCTCCCGGCTCCAGACTGTCCCAGCTCTGGCCATTGTGGCCATTTGGGGAGTGAACCAATGGTTGGAAGACCTCTCTTTCTCTCTACTTCTGCCTCTTTGTAACCCGGCCTTTCAAATAAATAAATAAAACTTTAAAAAACAAACAAACTCCCATATTATTTTCAACACTGACATATTAAGGTTCAACATATAAAATCATGCTTTGTGTTCAAAATTCTCCTCACCAATTAGTGATTTATAGGTGACAGAGGCAGAAAGAAACCCAACTAAAACACCGTATTTCTTACCTGTTAAAACAGTTTACCATGGCACTTCCTGACAGACTCCCCGTTATACTCGCTCCTGCTAGCGCCATGGTGCTGGCTGTTTCACTCAGGTTGTCTCGAATGGCTCCTATTCGATCCATGTGGCTTCCACTTGCGCTCAAACTGCCAGTCAGGCCTCCGACACTTCCCTCCCCTATGCTGGGGTTGTGTCTTGCCTCTGCTACTGATGTTGTGTCTAAATGCAAATATTTCAAAGAAATTAAACAGGTATGGTCATTAATATCTTCCTTTTTAAATCCCTCCATGTCTGCAGGAGGAACATTTACTAAAGTATAAAACATCCACAGGAATAGAAACAGACGTCTGGAGGGCATACCCTAGAGTGAAGGGAAGTGCCTCAGAGAGTACGGCTAGAGCAGGGACTGACCCTCAATTTTAAAAGGTCATTTAAAACAAATCACTAGGGTTTTGGAATACTGTTGAAAAATTTAGCTGACTTAAAAGGACAACTATGTGACTGTTTTCAAGAAGGATGCCATTTAAAGAGCTTATTACTCTCTAGGCTAGTCAGAACAGGCCAAAGGTTGATTTCTCTATGTATTCCATTTCTAATTATCTACAAATTATAAAATTTTATAAAAGTATATTCTGATCAGTATTTTATTTTTTTTTTTAATTTTTTGACAGGCAGAGTGGACAGTGAGAGAGAGAGACAGAGATAAAGGTCTTCCTTTGCCGTTGGTTCACCCTCCAATGGCCGCCGCGGCTGGCACACCGCGCTGATCCGATGGCAGGAGCCAGGTGCTTCTCCTGGTCTCCCATGGGGTGCAGGGCCCAAGCACTTGGGCCATCCTCCACTGCACTCCCTGGCCACAGCAGAGAGCTGGCCTGGAAGAGGGGCAACCGGGACAGAATCTGGCGCCCTGACCGGGACTAGAACCCGGTGTGCCGGTGCTGCAAGGCGGAGGATTAGCCTAGTGAGCCGCGGCGCCAGCCCTGATCAGTATTTTTTACATGCTTTGTACTTAAAGTGAAAGATGTTTTTGTACAAAAAAAAGTCTGAAATCCATATTTTTTTTAAATTAAAGACTTATTTATTTATTTGAAAGTCAGAATTACAGACAGAGAAGGAGAGATAGAGAAATCTTCCATCCACTGGTTCACTCCCCAAATGGCCACAATGGCCACAGTGGGGCAAGGCCAAATGAGGAGTTCATCTGGGTTTCCCACATAGGTTCAGGGACCCAAGGACTTGGGCCATCTTCTGCTGCTTTCTTAGGCACATTAGCAGGCAGCTGGATCAGAAATGGAGCAGCTGGGACTCGAACCAGTACCCATATGGGATGCGAGTGCTGCAGACAGTATCTTATCAATTGCACCACAGTGTCAACCCCTCGCCCACAGGTTAATACATACTTCTAAGAACTTTTTGAAGGCCTCTCATATCTGACAGGCGAGATTACCTAAACCGTGAGTGTAGGTAAGAGTCCTGAGACACAACAGAGCCCTGGGATTCTTAAACATTTAGAAATTGAGAGAAGAAAATGAACCAGCAAAGATAACTCAGGAGTGGCCAATAGATATAAGTCGTGCTTTCCCAGAAAACAAGTGAAGAAGTGTTTCAAGAGAGAGAGCGAGCACCATCTACTACGTCAGGTATACTATTATAATATAGTTGAATGAGAAGCAGTCCACACAGCAGACTCATAGAATGACAATTGCTTTAAACAGCACTCTAACCTCAGAATCAGCCCTTAAGGCATTCTGGTCTGGCTAAAGAGCCCATAAGATCACTTCAGACATGGAAAGCCAAGACACCGTGGCAAAAAATTGTCCTACATGAAGGATCTCTGAGACCCCAGTGGAAAGATGTGGCCATCAAAGAAGGATGTACTTTTCTCTGAAGGGAGGAAAGAACCTCTACTTTGCTTATGGACTTGTCTAAACACTGACAGAGATTGTGGACTCAAAAGGTTTTCACAGCCTTGGCAGCTTATGTCAAGAGCCTTGGGTGATCACTGATGTCATACATGAGTGTTAATTGTTAAATCAACAACAGGAGTCATTGTGCACTAACTTCCCATGTAGGACCTCTGTCCTCAATGAGCTATATTATGAGAATAAACTGTAAAATTTGTTCCCAAACAGTTTCTCTCTGTGTTTGTGTGTGTGCAAGTTGTTGAAATCTTAACTTAGTATAGAGTTGGTCTTCTTTGTATAAAGTTAACTGAAAATGAATCTTAATGGAAAATGGGACTGGGAATGAGGAGGAGGATGTGGTAGAATGGAAGCAGGGGTGGGATGGCAGGTATGGTGGGAAGAATCACTATATTCCTAAAGTTGTACTTAAGATATTTATACTCATTAAATAAAAGGTTTCACTGGGAGAAGAAAAAAAGAAAACACACACAAAGTGGGAAAAGAAAATAATACACTTGAGAACTAAGAACTGACCACTGCATTTAAGAACATGGAGGCCACTGGTGACTGCTTTAGTGGAATGACAGAGATGAAATTCTGGAGTGGTAAGACAAAAATCTGATTGAAGTGAGTTGAAGAAAGAATAGGAGGTAAGAAAGTGAGCATTATTTTATACAACTGCCAGATTATTTCCTTACAAAAACATATTTCTTTTAAGAAGAATTGCTAGAATATAGAATGTACACATTTTTATAAAAGATCTGTTAGCTTATACTCCCACTGGAAGTCTTTTAGAGATTATTTTGCCAATTATTATTCTAACTCACATTTCTCTGCACTAAGTTGAGCTGAAGAACTTTGTAACTTATTAGCCAACTGGTTATCTTCTTCTATGAACTATATTTCTCTTCACATCCTTTTCTTACTGATTTGTAGTATTTTAAGCAAACTCACAGATGAAAAGTTTAGGATTTCTAAGATATTATTTTCCCTTTAGAGGTTAGGTACCCAGAATTTTCCCCATCTCTTTCATCCAAATACTCTTCCACGCCAATGCATTTCACTGATATGCTTCTGGGTGAACATGATTACACTAATAAAAGGAGGGCAATGCAAATTCTGACTTGTATGTTATCTACAGCTTCCTCCCACTTGAGCTATCAATACATACATTTTTCCTTTGCTTAAAGGACTTACCTACAGCTGTGTTCGTTCCACCAACATTTATATCATTTTCGTCATCAAATTCAATCCTGACACCTTTTCCATTTCCTGCTGAGACTCCACAACCTCCACTTCGACAGAGAGAAATTGGAACAACACCATAGACATAAGCTAACATAATAGGAACACCAATACCTAAAAGAAAAATTAAATTACTTATTTTAAACCAAAAATTAAATCACAGAAACACTTTTATAATTTTTTTAAATTTAGTTTAAATTTTTAATTTAGTTTTTTTTTTTTTTTTTTACAGAGTGGACAGTGAGAGAGAGAGACAGAGAGAAAGGTCTTCCTTTGCCGTTGGTTCACCCTCCAATGGCCGCCACGGCCGGCGCGCTGCGGCCGGCGCACCGCGCTGATCCGATGGCAGGAGCCAGGAGCCAGGTGCTTCTCCTGGTCTCCCATGGGGTGCAGGGCCCAAGCACCTGGGCCATCCTCCACTGCACTCCCTGGCCACAGCAGAGGGCTGGCCTGGAAGAGGGGCAACTGGGACAGAATCCGGCGCCCCGACCGGGACTAGAACCCGGTGTGCCGGCGCCGCTAGGCGGAGGATTAGCCTATTGAGCCGCGGCGCCGGCCTTAATTTAGTTTTTAAAATTTATTTACTTAATTAATTTATTTGAAAGGCAGAGTTACAGAGAAGCAGAGGCAGAGAGAAAGAAAAAGAGAGAGAGAGAGAGAGAAGTCTTCCATCTGTTGGTTTACTCCCCTAATGGCCTCAATGGCAAGAGCTGGGCCAATCTGAAGCCAGGAGCCTGGAGCTTCCTCGGGATCTCCCACATGGATGCAAGGGCCCATGGACTTGGGCCATCCTCTGCTGCTTTCCCAAGCATACTGGCAGGGAGCTGGATGGGAAGTGCAGTATCCAGGACTTGAACTGGCATCCATTTGGGATGCTGGCACTGCAGGTACAGCTTAACCTGCTATGCCACAACAGCAGCCCCCAAAACATGACATATTAAAAGTGGGAGGGTTCTGAATATTTGGCTGGCACATTTGCCAAAACTGGATTTACCCACAGCTGATAAGTGACACAAATAAATTAAAGGCCCTCAACCCTTCAGGTGGCATGCATGGGAAGGGTAGAGAAGAGAAGAGCCAAAATTTTTTTCAAGTGCCAGGCCTCTGAACTGTATTTTCTGGGAGGGAAAGGGGAGAGGAGGATTATCAACCACAAACAATTTACCAACTACCCTTAAAACTACGCTCTTGAGACATAAAATCAAAGCAGTTGCTGAATGATAGATTTTCTGTAGGGTTACCTTAAATAATTAAAAAACCAACACTCCTATCTGAACAACAGTGAAACATTTTTCAAAAATCATCCCACAAAACTTCAGTATTATTAACAATGTCCTCACCTACAGTTACTGCAGCTACTACTGGAGACACAATCACAGACAACGTTACTCCACCTGCTATGGCCAAATTCCGTTTGTGCTTTGAAATATCCTTGCCTTCATATCGATTGTGAATCTTGAATTAAACATCAAAATGGAAGAAAATGATTAAAAAGAAAATACTTCACATATTTCATTTAGCTAATAAGCATTTGATTTCTTACACAATTTCATAACTCTGTGTCCTAAATTCAAGGTAAATTTATTATTTGTTCTTATTATCTCAAATAATTGTTCCTTAATAATAACTTGCATACATAAGACAATGATTTAATAGATTTTACTTTTAAAACACTCCAGTGAAATAGTTTTTATAATTTTATTCAATAGTAGTATAATCATAATCATTTATTCAGCAATGAAGAAATTAAGATTATTCTCAAGATAGTCATGAGTTGGGTGTTTTACTATAGGATGCTTTAAAAAAACAAAGATTTATTTATTTATTCGAGTGGCAGAGGTACAGAGAGAGGAAGGAAGATATGTAGAGAGAGGTCTTCCATCCACTGTTTCACTCCCCAAATGGCTACAACAGATGCAGCTGGGCTGATCTGAAGCCAGGAGCTTCCAGGTCTCCAACATGGGTGAAGGGGCCCAAGCACTTGGGCCATCTTCCACTGCTTTCCCAAGCCATAAGCAGAAAGATGGATTGGAAGAAGAGCAGCTGGGATACAAACCGGCGCCCATATGGGATGTTGGTGCCACAGGCAGAGGCCTAGCCACAGCACTGGCCCCCTGGCCCCTAGGATGCTTTTTTTTTTTTTTTTTAAATGATTTTATTTACTTGAAAGAAAAGTTAGAGAGAGGGAGAGACACAGAGAGAGAGGTCTTCCCTCTGCTTGTTCACTCCCCAGATGGCCACAATGGCCCAAGCTGGGCCAGGCTGAAGCCACGAGCCTCTCTTCTGGGACTGCCATGTTGGTGTGGGGGCCCAAGTACTTAGGCTGTCCTTTGCTGCTTTCCCAGGTGTGTTAGCAGGGAGCTAGATCAGAAATGGAATAGCTGGGACTCGAACTAGCACTCATATGGGATGCTGGTGTTGCAGGTGGTTGATTTAACCACAATGCCGGCCCCAATAATAGGCTATTTCTAAGAATGTTCTCATTCCACAAGTTTATATCTCAGTAATAGCTCTAGGGAGGGTTCCCATAACTTCTTTAAAAACTGACCTTAGATAGTAGTTGTAATAAACATCACTAATCTTTTCTCAGACTTTTTTTTTTTTTTTTTGACAGGCAGAGTGGACAGTGAGAGAGAGAGAGAGAGAGAGAAAGGTCTTCCTTTTGCTGTTGGTTCACCCTCCAATGGCCGCCGCGGCCGGCGCACTGCTCTGATCCGAAGCCAGGAGCCAGGTGCTTCTCCTGGTCTCCCATGGGGTGCAGGGCCCAAGCACTTGGGCCATCCTCCACTGCACTCCCTGGCCACAGCAGAGAGCTGGCCTGGAAGAGGGGCAACCGGGACAGAATCCGGCGCCCTGACCTGGACTAGAACCCAGTGTGCCGGCGCCGCAAGGCAGAGGATTAGCCTATTGAGCCGCAGCACCGGCCTCAGATTTCTTTATAAGAAAATATTAACAAGCGTTCAAAACTTCCAAGTTAAGGAGTAGAGAGAGAGGAAAAAAAAGAAGAAAATATGTAATAGCTAGCAGAAGACAGAAGCTGTATGTACTTAGTATCTCTGTACAGTTATAGGTGCTAATAATCTGGATTTATATCACCATGAAAGTAGCTTGTGGAGTCATCATATGAACTTTGGGAAACACACTGGTACCTTAGTTCTCAGAGTTTGTAGCTAAAAATGCATATCCCTCCCCCACTCTTTGCCTGAAGTATGTATGTAATCTGAGAGGGTGTGAGGGAGGGGTGCAAAGGGGAGGGAGAGGGAGAGGGAGGGAGTGAGAGAGTGAGGGAGAGGGAGGGAGAGAGAAAGGGAGAGGAAGAGGGAGAGAGAGAGGGAGAGAGGGAGAGAGAGAGGGAGAGAGAGAGGGAGGGAGAGAGGGAGAGAGAGAGGGAGGGAGAGGGAGGGGGAGGGGGAGGGAGAGGAAGAGTGAGAGGAAGAGGGAGAGGAAGAGGGAGGGAGAAAGGGAGAGGAAGAGGGAGAGAGAAAGGGAGAGGAAGAGGGAGAGAGAGAGGGAGAGAGAGAGGGAGAGAGAGAGGAAGAGGGAAAGGGAGAGAGGGAGAGGGAGGGAGAGGGAGAGGAAGAGAGAGGGAGAGAGAGGGAGAGGAAGAGGGAGAGAGAAAGGGAGAGG